CCCGCCGCTCTCCTCCTCCATGAGGCCTGAGTGAGGTGCAGCGCCGAGCCGGCCCGCGGCGCCTCCCTACCCCCCGCCCCCGCCCCCTCATCCGGAGCGCAGCGGCGGCGGCCCCCGGAGGTGGAGGAGGAGCATGTCGGACGGTTTCGATCGGGCTCCAGGTGCTGGTCGGGGCCGGAGCTGGGGCCTGGGCCGCGGAGGGGGCGGGCCTGAGGGCGGCGGTTTCCCGAACGGAGCGGGGCCTACGGAGCGGTCGCGGCACCAGCCGCCGCCGCAGCCCAAAGCCCCGGGCTTCCTGCAGCCGCCGCCGCTGCGCCAGCCCAGGACGGCCCCGCCGCCAGGGGCCCAGAACGAGGTCCCCTCCGGCTCCGAGCGGCCTCCCCGACCCGGGGCGCTCCCAGGTACGGAGCAGCTCTGGAGGACCCGGTTCTCCGGGGCCATCATCGCCTCCCTCCTCCCCACACCCACTCCCCACGGCCTCTTCCCCCTCCACACCCCGGGCGTGCCGAGGCCCGGCGCGCGGTCTCCTCCGTCCGCGGTTCCCCGAAAGCATCCCCCCGCGCGGGCCCGGCCCGGCGCGGGGTAGGAACGGGCCCGGAACCCGGCGTGGAAGGCGGCCGTGGAATCCTTTGTGCGCCGGCCGGGGGGAGGGGCGCCGCGCGTCTCGGAGTTCTGCGGTCCCGGGAGGAAGTCGGGGCGCCCGCCGCCGCGGGCCGGACTCGCTCGCTCGCTCGCTCTCTGTGTGTCTGTTGTTGTTCTTTGTCACCAACTCCTTAGAAGGGAGCGGGAGGGGGAGAAGCCCCCGGCGCGCCCGGGGGAGGCAGGTGTCGCACCCCGGAGCTGAAGCGGGTCTATTGTTCGGTTTGGCCGGCGCTCGAGTCTCCTGGCGGCGTCTCTTAACGTGAGCTGTGAGCCAGCACGTCGGTAAATAGAAACCCGGTGGCTCCCCGAGGCGGGCTTGCCGTCGCCACGAAGTTGTCATACAAAGGAATGAATGAAGCGAACGCCACTTTTGTTGATTCTCTCTCCTCAGAACCCCCGAAGCCCCCGAGAGCCCCGCCCAGTGCACAGGAGAACCCCCCCGCGCCGAACCCCGAGTCCGCCATGGCCAAGCCCCAGGTGGTGGTGGCTCCCGTGCTGATGTCGAAGCTGTCTGCCAACGCCCCCGAATTTTACCCCTCAGGTTATTCTTCCAACTACACGGTGAGTGCGCCCTTTTCCTTGCCGCTCTGGGTTGATCGGGCCGGGATGAGGTGGTCATCCATGAATCGACGGGCCTGCGTCTTCTGCCCTCCACATAACGTGTGTTTTATGTTGAGTTCATTGAACGGATGAGGACACGGCTCCGGAATATACGATCCAGTTCCATTCAGGGGAACGGGAACGTGAGCTGAAGAGTAGGGAGTCCTGTCTGCTTGGTTTACTGCTGTTTAGCGCCTTCAGACCATCAGTAAGCAGATAAACCTGATATAGTTAACTTACTGGCTAGGACATCTTCAGTTTGTAAAATTTAAATCCATTTCCAGACTTTTTAGAGACAACCTGTAGAGTCGTGGCCAGGCAAAATAATGTGTGTTTTATTTTTGCTTGATTTTATCAAAATAGTGGATGATTCATCGGTGGCTTGAGCATTCTAAACTGGTTTTGCTGTACAAGGTAGTTTGTTTAATGATTTTTTTAATGTCATTTCTAATGATCCTTAAAATAGGTGGTAGTTTACCTACTTGCAGAAATGTAAGGAGTTTTGATAAAGTGTTTACCTAGGTATGAAAAAACCTTTCAAGTTTCATCTTTGTCAGTAAGAGAGCAGAAAGCACAGTTGGGATGTGTGGGAATTTCTGTGCTAGGTAAACCCAGATGAGAAAATGTGTAGGGATAACTTGTAAATAACTAGGGGAGCTTAAAAAAAAAAAGACCAATATTTTAGAGTAAGGTTTCTCTTAGTTTTATTGAAACATGGTGTTCATCAGGACTAGCTCAAAATTTCAGAGTGAACACCAAGTAACTAGCATCTCAGTTAATATCAGCATCTCTAAAACCCTTCTAATCATTACACAAATCAAAGGGTAACTGCATTTTTTTTTGTTTGCTTGCTTCTTAATAAGTAGTAGCTTAATCTGGCTATGTAGCAAAGGCTGGCCTCAGAGTTCTGATTTTCCTGTCTCAGCTGGGGAATTACATGCACATGTGCCACTATGTCTGTCTGTGACCACTGTTTTGACTTCAGATAGTTTTGCCTGCATTCAAAGTTTATGTAAATGAAGCCATACAGAATGTATTTTATGTCTCACATCAGAATTAATTCATGTAACATATAATTTGAGATGATTTATTCTCATAATATGCCATTGCATGCTCACATCAGAGTCCCATTTATTGACTTGCTTCTACTTCGGGCTGTTATGAATAGGATTACTATCCCTGTCTTTGCCTGGCTTGGTACACATAAGGAGTAGAATAGCTGGAACATAGGATAGCCAGATTTAGTAAAGACTGCCATTTAGTTTTTCAAAGAGATATCCCATTGTATGTTTTGAGTAGCATATGCTTTATTGGTTCTTCCTCCACAACACTTTGGATTTCTAGCTTAGCCATTCTGACAGGCATATATTATCTAGTTGTGGTTTCAGTTTTTTCTCTTATAACTACTGATGGAAAACTTTCTTTTTAACGTGCTTTGACTTTGTACATATTAGATAGGAAAAGTATGAAGAAAAGATGTAGAACCTCCATGTGTCGTAGAGGAAAAAGCTTAGGATTGGCAAGGAGAAAGTATAGACTTGTAAGGACGATCAATCAATTTGGGGTGAAAAGGTTACGATTTCAGGTGAAAGTTATCTATCACGTAAAATAGAAATGAAAACAGCTTGGGTTCTTGCCAGAAAATAGTATTAGGCTCAGAGCCGGAGGGAACCATTGGAACCATTGGAGATCTGTGAGTGCTTGAATAAACTCTTAAGGATGTTTTTCTTAGGAGCCATAAACAGTTCCCATTTGTATTTCTGCCTGTGGATTTGGTCTGTTTTATAATGGGAGTCCTGTATGTAGTTAAATGACTCCTAGGCTGTGGAGCAATGTCAAGTCAATTTATTTTGAGCCTCTGTTGCCTTATGGAAATTCTTTGTTCCTTCTATCTCATTATACCAGAACAGATTGTGGAGCAGAAGCCTATGTGGTCCACAAGTGTATCTTCTTTGGTCTTCAGAGTGTGGGTTGTTTTACTTAATTACCAACATTTGTATTAGATACTTGGAAATCTGAATTCCCTTTTTTCTGTTGAAAGTGTAAGAACTGGCTGTAGTAGACTGACCTTTTGATAGCAAAACTTGGCTAGTGCAGAATAGAGATGTAATTTTAACAAACGCTTGAGTTTCTTCATTCGTTTGTAGCCAGCCTGGATTCCACAGCCATTTTGGCTTGCTACCTGCTCTAGTATGTTCTCTTAGCCTTCTTAGTTTACACTAACATTTACCCTCTGTAAAAGCTAAAAGTGTTTCTCAGTCCATTTAGTCACAGAACTCTTGTTGCTCCTGACTCACAGGATAAAATCATAGGAGGGAAACTTTTCTTTATAGTAACCATACTCCAAAGTTAGCTGTATCTACTTAATCAACAAGCATGTGAATATTTAGTGTAAGTCAAACAACACTGGTACATCAACAAATAAAATAGACAAAATTTCTGTCTAGATGTAGCCTGTTCTCTAGTGGTCTCCCTCAGTTTCCTGAAAACTGCTTTCTTTGCACAATTTCTTCCTCTTCCTCCTCTTCTTCCCCTCTCCTTGCTCTCCCTCTCCTTCCATCTTCTTTCCACTCCCCTCTTCCTTCCCCTCCCTCCTCCTCCCTTCTCTCTCCTTGCCCCTGCCTCTTCTCTTTTCTTCTTGCTAGTAACAATTTTCAAATTGAACCATATCTCCAGACCTCAGATTGATTGAGACCCTCCTGAGACATCCAGAGCTTCCTAGGATTACAGGCATGCTTCACCACTACCTAGCTATTTGTTTAGATGGAGGGCATCACTAAATTTTTGCCCACGCTGGCCTCCAACTATGATTCTCTCCATCTCTACTTCCCAAGTAGCTGGGATTACAATGTGTACACTATACCAGGATGTCTAATTCTTTTTTTTTCTTAAACATTTAAGGTTTGGTCGGGCATCAGTGGCTCATGCTTGTAATCCTAGCAACTCAGGAGGCTGAGAACTGAGGATCACAGTTCAAAGCCAGACCAGGCACTGAAGTCTGTGAGACCCTTTTTTTGGGGGGGGGTTCTGGTTATGGGGCCTGAACTCTGGGCCTGGGCGCTGTCCCTCAGCTCTTCAGCTCAAGGCTAGCACGCTACCACTTGAGCCACAGTGCCACTTTCAGCTTTTTCTGCTTATGTGGTGCTGAGGAATTGAACCCAGGGCCTCATGCATACAAGGTAAGCACTCTATCACTGAGCCACCTTCCCAGCCCCGAAATGTACTCTTTAATTAATTTACATAATTGTAATCCCTCTGTACATCATCCTTATAATAACAATTTTAAAAAACAAAATAACTTATAGGATTTGCTATTTTCTATACTCCTACCAGTAAGTTGCTCTATTCCTGGTTTTTGCTTCTCAGACAAATTGGTATGCTTTGAATATTTAATCATAGTATATTGAACAGTATCAAAACTTCCACATAGGAATTTGTTGTTGTTGTTGTTTTTTTGGTCCGGTCGTGGGGCCTGAACTCTGGGCCTGGGTGCTGTCCCTCAGTTCTTTAGCTCAAGGCTAGTGCTCTTCCACTTGAGCCACAGCTCCACTTCCGGCTTTTTTCTTTCTGCTTATGTGGTGCTGGGGAATCGAACCCAGGGCCTCACGCATGCAAGGCAAGCTCTCTACCACTGAGCCACCTTCCCAGCCCCCCACATAGGAATTTATAAATAATTTATTGAGATATAAAAGTTCTCCCTTGGTTGGGCACTGTGGCTCATGCTTGTAATCCCATCTATTCAGGAGGCTGAGATGTGAGGATCTCCGTTCAAAGCCAGCCCAAGCAAGAAAGTCCATGATGCTTTTTTTAATGTATATATTTTTTTTAATTGGGAAGGTGATGTACAGAGGGGTTTCAGTTACATAAGTAAGGTAATGAGTCCATTTCTTGTCAACCTTGTTACCATGAGACTCTTATCTCCAGTTAATCACCTAAAAACTGGAAATGGAGCTATGGCTCTAGAACCCTGGCCTTGAGTACAAAAGCTCAGGGTCAGCACCCTGAGTTCAAGCCCCGTGACTAACAACAAAAAAAAACCCTCTAAATACCTTTTCTCCTAAAAATCATCTCCATTTAAGTTACTTCCTAGTTTTTCTTCTACCTAGTTTTCCTTCTAGTATCATTCTCTAAAATTTGACATTATTTACTCTCTGGCATTACTTTACCTCTCTATACTATACCTCTCACTGTCTGTGCAAACATTTATAATCTGAACTCCAAAGTGTATTGAAAACTATTTTCACAACAGTTAATGATGCTTTTCTGACTTTTAATTCATGGACTCCATAGCCCTCATTTTAGGCTTTAAACAGTACCATAAACACAGTATGATCTATTCCATTAAAAAGTCTAGTGTGCAAAGTCTTATGCTAGATGTCAAGTTGCCAATTTGGTCTTTCAGAATCTCTCTTTTTTTTTATTGTAAAGATACTATACAGAGGGTTACAGTTACATGAGTGAGGTAATGAGTACACTTCCTCTTGAACATTGTTACCCCCTCCATTGTTTTCCCCCTACCATCCCCTCCCTCCCTACAGAATCTCTTATAATTTTTTTTTTTTTTTGGGTCCGGTCGTGGGGCCTGAACTCTGGGCCTGGGCGCTGTCCCTCAGCTCTTCAGCTCAAAGCTAGCGCTCTACCACTTGAGCCACAGCGCCACTTCCGGCTTTTTTCTTTTTTTGCTTATGTGGTACTGAGGAATTGAACCCAGGGCCTCAGGCATGCAAGGCAAGCGCTCTACCACTGAGCCACCTTCTCAGCCCTTTTTTTTTTTTTTAAATGGCTTAGCTGTTTTGATTTCCTCTTTACCCAGTTGATATGTTAGTTTCTTATGCCAGGATACCTCTTTAGGAATCAAACTGAAGCTCTGGGGGATTCAGGAATGCCTGCAAATCTTGTATTGGCATTAATAGACATCAGAGTTTGTGTTTTCTTTTCTTGAGAAGCAACATAGATCAATAGTTTGGGAACTACTCTCCATATTTGTAATTGTATTGTAATTGTAATTTGTAGTTGTAATTGAGTTGATTATTTGTTCATATCGTCTACAAAAAAAATTAGACATTATCTTAGTTGCTTTCTGATAACCTTAGGTAAATAGGGGAGAGAACTTGGTTTAAACATTTTCCTTTGACTTTGTAGCTCTTACTGTGAAGTTGGGTGGGAAAGTGAAACTTACTAATTTCCTTATGCCTAAGAAGGTCTGTATGTTTTTTGATACAGGGTAGTTTGGGGAGCCATAATATTAATCAACTTTAAAATGTTGCTAATTGCATTTATAATGATCTGTGTATCATTCAAAATTTTTTTAAAGGCCACATCTATTCCAAATTTCTCTTATATGGGAGCTCGCCTGTGTAATTACCTGTCCCATCATCTGACAATTAGCCCCCAGAGTGGCAACTTCCGCCAATTGCTACTTCAAAGGTCAGTGTGAATATGAAATTAAAGGAAAACTTCTAACTGTATTAGAATTTAAAGCTGCAGGAGAGTGTAAGATGGACCATTCTTATTTGCATAATATTAAAAGATTAGGATAAAATGTAGTGATTCTTTTTCCCCATAATGATCTCTGCCTTCTCCTTTCTTGTGCTATATCCTCTTCGCCATGCTTGTTTTCTCCATTGAAGTTTAGAATCAGTGTTTGGATTATTTGTTTAGGGACAAGTACTTGGGAGGTGGTAATTTTCATTTGAGTAGTCTTTAGTAACAAGGTTGTCGTCAAGTTTATTATCACTTGTCCATTTTTTTATACTTTTTAAAAATTATTATTATAAAGGTGATATACAGAGGGGTTATAGGTAAAGAGTACAGTTCTTTTTGGACATTGTCACCCATTCCCTTGCTCTCTCCGTTTTTCCCTCCCATTCCCACTCACAAGTTGTATAGTTCATTTTAGCAATTTTTTTTTCGGTCAATTTTTCGGGCATGAACTCCGGGCCTGGCCACTATCCCTCAGCTCTTCAGTTCAAGGCTAGCACTCTACCACTTGAGCCATAACACCACTTGGGGCTTTTTCTGCTTATGTGGTGCTATGGCCTCATGCATACAAAGCATGCAGTCTACTACTGAGCCACCTTCCCAGCCCCCAGCAAAATTCTTTAAGGTGTGTCTAGGACTGGGGAATATAGCTCAATACACAATGTAGAGCACATTCTTGGTATGCACAGACCTGGATTCATTCACAGTACTACACACTCCTACCTCAAAAACAAACAAAAACAATTCAGCAGTTGCAAAATATTCCATTGTCTGATAAATATGCAGTGGAATAAAGATTCCAAAAGTAGATTCCAGGGACATTTAAAATTTAAGCTTAAAAAAGTTAAGATGGTACTTCAAATACACATGTAAAAGGTGAATTATGCTAGAAGCACAACTGGATACTATTCAGGTTAATAAGACAGACATCAGTGGCTCACACCTCTAATTCTAACTACTCAGGAGGCTGGTCTCTGAGGATTGTGGTTTGAAGCCAGCCTGGGCAGGAAAAGTCCTTTAGCATTTTATCTCCAGTTAACTACCAAAAAGCTGAAAGTGAATCTGTAGCTCAAGTGTTGTAGTGCTAGCCTTGAGCAGAAAAGCTCATGGACAGTGCCTAGGCCCTAAGTTCAAGCCCAGGACTGACACAAAAATAAAAAATTACTTAAAAAATACAAAGGAAATATGGGTTTCTGTATCCTTACACAAAATTGAATTTATCAAAGACTCATTAAATTTATCAAATTTGTCAGTTAAATTTATTTGTCAAATTAAAGGCCCAAAAGTTAAACAGTAAATAAGGGGAAAGTTGACAAATGAAAACCTTGGGTTAGGGTAAAGCCTTTTTAAGCCAGATATACCTATAAGCTCTAAAACAAGACATTAGCAAATTTAGTTAACTATGAATCATAGGATTTTAGAAAAGACGTACATTTTTATAAAGTAGGAAAATTTACAGTACATGGCAGTGAACTCATAATATTAGAGACCTCTTAGGAATGAGTAAGAAAAAGCCTTACCTATAATTGAAGAAATATAAATGATAGCTTCTAAACAGATAAAAGGAGCATACTTAAAAAGTTCTGTTTTATTTTCCCCAGTATTTCTATTCCCTACTTGTGCCTTCCTGGTAGCTGTTAGATCTTGTCCCCACCTTAGAAACCCTGGTAAAACTGAACTGAGGTGGAGGCTGAGTGTGTGTGTGTGTTTTAATCTTGATGTGATTCTACTATAGAACCATAATTAAGAGTCATTCTTCCAATTTTCTTTGATTCTATCCTGGTGTGTACTTCTACAGTACTATAATAGTGTCAAAAATAAGGAGAAATGCTCATGATCTAGTAAGTGGAAAGCAAAGTATAGTTCTTCATTTAGACACATTTTTGCATACATACCTTGAAAAAGATGAATGAAGTTACCTCTTGGTTGCAATGGTATTAGAACAATTATAACTAAAAATTGAGCTTCAATAAGTTTTAGATCTTGCACTTAATCAGCCATATATATTGGTAAGGATTTACATATATCATCATGTCCTAATATAAAAGAACAATGCTGTTTCATTTTATTTATTTATTTTTGCAGTCCTGGGGCTTGAACTCAGGACCTGGGTACTGTTCCTTAGCTGCTTTTGCTCAAGGCTAGCACTCTACCACTAAGCTACCTTCTCAGCCCAGGCTGCAAAATTATAACAGAAAGGAAAGCAGCCAGGAATGTGTTTAGATAGCTGGATTGGCATTAACTAACTGATATTTTTCTTTATTAAATGTTCTACTTATAACTCCCCTCTTTTTTTTTTTTTCAAAAGACCAGGATTCAAACTCATATATATCTTAAGCTTCTATTCACTGGCTGGTGCTATATGATTTGAGCTATGCCACCAACGCTTATTTTCTTTTTTAATTTCCTAGTTTTTTTTTTATTTCTGATGAGGAATTAACAAATATGAGAAGGCAAGAAATACCTTATTGTATTTAACCTGGAGAGGTGATATTAATAGAGCTTGTAAGCAGGATTTGTGGCTGGTTCAGGTTACACAGGGTAGACACTTGGGCAAGGATGATTTCTTTGGCTTTGTTTAAAAAAAAAAAAAAATTAAAGAGCCGGTGCTAGTGGCTCATGCCTGTAATTCTAGCTACTGAGGAGGCTCAGATCTGAAGATCACTGTTCAAAGCCAGCGGGGGCAAGGAAAGTCTGTGAGATTCTTTTTTTTTTTTTTTTCCAATATTAACTTTGTATTTACTTTTATTTATGTTGAGCCTAGTCACTCCAAACTTGGTTGTTTTTTTTTTTTTTGGAGGGGGGGCGAGGTCCAGTCATGGGGCCTGTACTCTAGGCCTGGGCGCTGTCCCTCAGCTCTTCAGCTCAAGGCTAGCGCTCTACCACTTGAGCCACAGCACCACTTCCGGCTTTTTTTCCTTTTTGCTTATATGGTGCTGAGGAATCAAACCCAGGACCTCATGCATGCAAGGCAAGTACTCTACTACTGAGCCACCTTCCCAGCCCCTCTTACAATTTTATAAGAACAAAAATACTTGTATTTTGGTAAAGTCTCTTGATTTCCAAGTCTCTGCCGCTATCATTTTCTTTTTTTTTTTTTTTTTTTTTGTCGGTCATGGGGCTTGAACTCTGGGCCTGGGCACTGTCCCTGTGCTCTTCACCTCAAGGCAAGCACTCTACCACTTGAGCCACAGCACCACTTCCAGTTTTCTAGTGGTTAATTGGAGATAAGAGTCTCATGGACTTTTCTGTCCGGGTTGGCTTTGAAACATGATCCTCAGATCTCAGCCTCCTTTGTAGTTAGGATTACAGGTGTAAGCCACCGGTGTCCTGCTGCCACTATAATTTTCTATTAGGTTTCTACCTATGAATTTATTCATTGATATTTACTATTACAAATATCACCTTCCTCACTTACCTTCTCCTTTGACTTCTGTGGTTATACTTGCATATCATCCCCCTCTCCCCATATTGCAGTCCCTGAAGCTTTTTTTCCCCCGTTTTAATACCTCCCTTGTTTGCCCCAAAATCTTCCTTGTACTAATAACCCTCAAATCTAATTCTTCCTCAGAATTTCATTTTTTTAACTTGATGAGACTCTCATGTTAAAGTCAAGTATAAAATAATTCATCATCTGCAGCTCTTTCTTACTAGCTGAGGCCAAAAACTTGACTATGTTTTGTTTACTCTGGTTCAATCCAGTTAAACTAAGTAGTTTTAACTTCCACCATCTCCGGTCAGTTTCCTTTCCCTCCTGTCTTGGATTAGGATCTCCTCTCTGATAGTACATACACAATACCTACTGTGGAAGGTATGTTTTTAATTGGTGGTTTATTATAATCTTACAATCTGTCATCAAATTCTAAGAAAAATATAACACTTGAAAATTACTCTTTAACTTGGAAGCCATTTGACATTGTACAGAGGTCTAAAGAAATTTGTACTCTGAAAAATCTGGTGTTTGAAGAACTGATGCAGGCTTTCATTCAAATATGTTAGAATGCCTGTTCAAAAAACCCTCTGCTCCTTTGTTGCTTAAAATGATAGGCTCTGGATCAGATCTTCTGTTCTGGTATATTCAGAGCAGCTCTGCTTTTCTTTTTCTCTTTTTTTTTTCTTTTATTTTGGGTCCGGTCGTGGGGCCTGAACTCTGGGCCTGGGCGCTGTCCTTCAGCTCAAGGCTAGCACTCTACCACTTGAGCCACAGCACCACTTCTAGCTTTTTTCTTTTTGCTTATGTGGTGCTGAGGAATCGAACCCAGGGCCTCAGGCATGCAAGGCAAGCACTCTGCCACTGAGCCACCTTCCCAGTCCCCCCCCCCTTTTCTTTTACTTACCAAACTTTACGTTTTCTTAAATGAGTTCTGTTGAATGAGAAAGAAAAGACTAAAGGGCCAAGGGCATGGCTCATGTGAAGCCCTGAGTTCATTGAAACCCAGAACTGCTGAAAGAACAAGCAGAAAGAAAAGATCTCAAATCGGCTCAGACTTCATTTTTGCTAAAGTGAATGACAGTTGATAGAAAAGTTAGTATAGTTGAAGCTGGAACCCAGACTTGCCTTTTTTTGCTTTTCATTATTAATAATGATAGGATATTATTACTGGTTTGTAAATGTTTATCAAAAACTTAAACATATTTTTAATCCTAAAAAAAATGACACACGTATGTGGTTAACATTAAGTATATTGGGCTGGGAAGGTGGCTCAGTGGTAGAGTGCTTGCCTTGCATGCATGAGGCCCTGGGTTCAGTTCCTCAGCACCACATAAGCAGAAAAAGCCGGAAGTGGCACTGTGGCTCAAGTGGTAGAGCTCTAGCCTTGAGCTGAAAAGCTGAAGGACAATGCCCAGGCCTAGAGTTCAGGACCCACAACCGACAAAAAACAACAACACAAAAATTAAATATATTAATGTGTACAATTTTTTTTTTCAGGTAAGGGGTAGGTTTT